TTGCATGCTCTGTTATTTCGACTTTTAGGGTAGAATTTTTTATTTTTTGATTTTTGTTACAATTTGGGAAAATTGGCCTCTGCTTTGTGTTCATGGCCTTTAGTTTTGGTTAACCTTTGAGTTTTGTTACAGTTTAATTTTTGTGTTTTCCTTCAGTTGTCTTCAATTTTGTTAAAGCTTCGGTTGTTTGGTTTATTGTAGAAAATGTGCTCAAAAGTAGCTGCTTCTAAAAGCAAAATGAAGATTGCTGGAAAAGGCGTTAAGTTTGATTATGCGAAAAGATTGAGGGACTTGCCCTCTAGCCCTGATTCTGAATCTAATGTAAATGTCCAGGCGCCACATTGTGATGATTTTGAGTCTCCTGCTCCTCCTAAAAATTCGCAACAAGAGAGCAGTCGGATGACTCGTTCTCAAACGAGAAATACTCCCACTCCAGTTAAATCATCGAGTGACTTGCCCTCACCACCTTCTTCTGAAGCGAAAACACATGTCCGGGATCCCGATGATGATGATTTTGAGTCTCCTCCTCCTCCAAAAAAGTTGCAACAAGGGAGCACTCGAGTGACTCGGTCGCAAACAAGTAATACTCCTACTCCGGTTAACATTGTTAGAATATGGAGTAAGAAATGTGGGAGACCTCAAAAATTAAAAGAAAAGCTGAAAGTTGATTTGGTTAACGAAGATGATGTAGGCCGCAATGTTAAACCGAAAAGGAGAAAGATCAAGGATGATGGTGATAGTGGCCTTGATTCCTTATCGAAAGAACAAAGGTTTGCTATTCGCTCCAAATTGAATGAGAGAAAAGCTCAGTTGAAGATATTCCCTCTGTTGCTAGTAATTTATACATGGTTATATAATTTTATACAAAGTTATACAGTTGTTTATACATCTTTATACAAGTTCTGCTATATTTATTTATATATTTTTATAAAAATGTTTTACTATAGTTTCTGTTCCTGATCTATTTCTTGTTATTTTTTCTTATGCAAGGTTGGGGACTTCTATATACAACCAGTTGATTATTTCCACAACAGGATTAGCTCCCACACCGAGACTGAGATTGTGAGCATTTTGAAGCAATATTTGACTGACACACAGCTTCAGATGTTCCGTGCTAGTTGTTTTGGGTACTTCTTGGACCTCCCTCAATTTAAAATTCAAAATCAACTTATTCATTGTATATTATTGAGGGAAGTCGTCCCAGGACGTGAAAGGGAGTTGTGGGTGCAAATTAATGGTTGTTTGTTGCGTTTTGGCATTGGAGAGTTTGCTGTTATCACTGGTTTGAAGTGTGTAGACGACGATGCCACTTTCTATGACAAACCAGATGTTAATAGGTTGCTAAAAGAGTATTTTCCAGGAGATGGAAAAAAGGCTATAACTAGGGGGCAGCTTCTTGATCGCTTCAAGAAAAAGGACTGGAAGTCGGACGAAGATGCGTTCAAGATGGCCTTGATGGTGTTTGTCCATCATTTCATATTCTCATATGCCAATAATCATGGTATCAACAAAGATGATTTTGATATCATTGAAAGTGGTCAATATCATACGTATGCTTGGGAAAAAAAGTCATTTGAAGATATTTTAAGGACAATGAGGGACGGACAGTGTGACTATTTGACAATGTATAGGCTTGGGGGTTTGCCACTTGCATTACAAGTATGGTTTTTTGAGTGTTGCTCTAATGTTGACAACCATCTAGCTGTTCGCGTTGGAACAAATGTGCCACGCATTCTTAATTGGAAAGTGACTGAAACTCCAACATATGCGGATTTGACTGGCGGGGTGATCATGTGTAATATCGACAAGGTAAACATTTTGTACCATAATACTTCTTCATATATGATTTCAGTTTTTCTGTATGTATATTTATGAATATGTTACAATTTCCTTTTTCTACCATTGTAATCTAGTTTTTTTTCTTGTAGTTGAACTATAGGAACATTTCCCCTACTCGTGAAGAGCTGTCAACTCTGAACATTGACACGCTTTTTGAAGTTAATACCGATAATGTTGCATCAGGGGATGTGCCTGTGGTGCCTGCCTTTCACACTGATGATTCTATCGCTGCATCTCCACCTTGTCCTCAGAATATGGAGCAACAGTCTAAACGACCTTATCCTCAGAATACGGAGCAGCAGTCTAAACGACCTTCTCCTCAGAATATGGATCGACAGCCTAACCCGAGTTATGATCCTTTGGTGCGCATTGATCTGTTGAATGCTGAAGTTGAGAAGTTGAGGAGTGTTGTTGGAAAGGTACTGGACCTTTAACTTTTCTGTAGTTTATCAGTACTTTTTGTATATACATGGTTTTTTGGTTATAAACATGGTTTTGTTGATTTGCTTTTGATTTTTTTTTTGTTGTTGTAGTTGACTGATACAGTAACGACACTCAACAATTATGTAGTTTCTTCCATTGAAATAGTGTCCAGTTTTCTGAATATGAAGGAAACCAAACAAACGAGGGAGGATTTTACTAATTCTAAGGTAATTGTTTACTGATAAAACCAAATCACTCAATAGTTATGCCTTCTCTGAATCATCACTCAACAGTTATGCCTTATCTTTCTATTGTTTGTTATTATATTCATCAGTGCGTGTCTGATGACAATACATCCGGTCCTGGCGAATATGATGGTTATCAATATGATGTTGTTCCTGACTTTGTCAATCAAGTGAATCAAGATGACGTGCTAGCAGACGAGGGAGTTACTGATGGTGTTGATCATGGTATTTGTTCTGTATTTTATCTTCTTTTTTTATCTGATTTTTCTTTTCTTTATTTTAAAGTTTTTTATTATTTGTTTTCTCCGTCTAAGGGGCATCAGGTGATGTCAAGGGTGACATATTTTGGGATGACATTGGTGATAAAGATTTAGCTGCGCTACAGATGTCCCAAATTGTGCTTCACAAACAATCAATCATAGACGTAGAAGATGATTTCATTTCTCCTGAAAAGTCAGTTCGACAGAAAATACCCGGGAAATATGCCAATTCTCTATATTTGCCAGTTTTTGATTCGGGGGCATCAGGATCGGCGCCCAAGCTCATTTTTGATATCAAGCATCCTTTCACGATCGAAATTGATGATTTTGATCCATTGTCGCCGTTGGCTAAAGAGTTTTGCGCGTTTGTTGATAATGGGATGGATACGAGGCGAATGTATCTTCACTTTCTTTAATCTTTCATGTTCTGATTTTAAACTTGTCAATGAATGTAGTTCTGATTACTTTATATTTTCTGTGATTTGAAGTGCCAAAAATCCCAATGAAGTAAATAAGCTTGCGGAAGCTTTTACTTTTGGCTCGTGTAATGTGACCACGAAGGATTGGTTCCACTCACTTGCATATTGTGGTCGACCTTTCATTGACACGGTATTTAATAAATTTATGTTCTAATGTCTTTTTTTATTTGTTGCATATCTTTATTATTTGAGACCTCCATAGTGTATACATAGCCTTGTATAATCACAATATAAGATTGTATAACATTGTATAAGATTGTATAACCTTGTATAAATATGTACCTCTGTATAATAGTATATAAATTTCTATATTTAAAATATCTGGTAGTGATGGTTGTTCTGTTTTATTTCTTGTTTCAGCACTTGGATGTCCTCTTTTATTATTTGAGGAAGAGGGAAAAATATGGGCCGAGTGTTGCCATGCGGTTTACTACAACCGACTTTGCCTTTGGTAACAAAATCAACTCCCTGTATAAAGTTTTCAAAGTGAATCAAGATCCTTCAGTGATTCCTGAAGGGCATGAGATAGAAGAGTACATTAGAGGATATTATTGTGATGCAAATGTCCCGTGGCACACTGTTGACCACGTCTTATTCCCTATCTATGTGAAGCGGGGAAGAGCAAAATTGGGCCATTGGGTTTTGGGGGTGTTTACCTTCATAGATAGGTGCATCCACATCTATGATTCTAATCGTGGAGCTATTAATGATAGACTTGTTTTGGATGCTGCATTACCTTATGCAATTCTGATACCTTACTTCTTGAAGAGTTCTGATTTTTATGTCGAGAAGAAGGGCATTGATTGGAACAATGGTGCATATACCGATAAATTCCATTCTGATGCTTTGCAGATTAATCTGGTTAATAATGTTCCCCAACAGATCAAATGGTAGGTTAATCTCAATTGTTTTACTATTTTACTATTAGTGTACCTATTTGAATCTAATTCGTTTCTTTTTAATTACAGTGATTGTGGTGCTTTTGTTGCTGGCTTTGCTGAGTATTTCATCCTTGGTAAAGAAATTCGAAAGGATAATTTTGACATTGAGACACTTCGCACCAGGCGGGAATCTCTGTTGTGGGATTATGGAAGGAAAAAACAACAGTCCGGTGCAATTAGTGGTGATGAAATCACAGGGAGACTTTTCAAGAAGAGGAAGAGGGGGCGACCGAGAAAGTAGTTCTGTTTTTCCCATTTTACTGTAGTTTTTCTATGTATCAGGAGTTGTTGCCTAGTTTTGTAACTATTCTGCTACTTGTGAGATAACCTTAAAGGATATTATAGATGTTTTTTTTATTTTTGTGTAATTTGAGGCAGTCATTACACATTGTTGCTGTGAATGAATTACATTTTAATGAATATATCAGTTGCTTTTGTCCTTTAACAAAGTATGTATTTTCATTATGGTTGCAGTTTTGTTAATGTAGCAGGTTTTAAACATATGTATACAATAATATACATAGTTATACAAATTTATACAAACTTATGTTCTCATTTATACATCTGTATACATGTAATACCAGTGATTGTTTGCAGTCCTGTTTTGTATTTCTACAATTTATCAATATATTTAGTACCATTAAAAACAGGAAGACACTATTATTGGATAAGCAAAACATGTATAATGAAACATGTCAATTCGTCAATTGCTTGTGAAACTTAACTAATCAACATTTGTAACTCTATTGTTTGTGAAACTTAACTACTCAACATGACAACAAATGTAATAGGAAGTGTTATGTTTTCAACTAGCTATTTTGGTCGATTCCTACATGTTTTTCTATTGTGACCACCTTGTCCACACACAGAACATGAAAATGCCCTCTTAGACTCTTTTTCTGAAGCAGGTTTGAGTCTTTCCTTTCTTGGCCTTCCTGCATTCCTTCTCCCTTTAGGTGGTAGGACCACATCTTCCATCACCTCTGTTGGGATTACCCATAAACTCTCATCTGGCATCGGATTCACTGGAAATTCATAAGTTCTAAGGAGTTTATCCTTCTTGTAGTAAAAAGAGCAATACTGGCCAGGTTTCAGCTGCTGGTTCTTCAAAACTGCCCAAGCATGCGGACATGGAAGTTCATCCATTTGAAATTTTCCACAACTGCATGTTCCCTCTTCAAGGCACACTATGTTTCGCCTTACCCCTTCAAACACAGTATATAACTTGTCCGTAGCAGGCCTCACCTGCAAAAGTTTTTTTTTAAAAAAAAAGTGAAAGAACATTATACATTATTATACAGAGATATACATCCTTATACAAGCAGTAAAATGCAAGTTAGCAGTGCCAAGCATCATTATATTTGATTCAATTTACCGTCATTTGCTCCGATGCAATCAGATTTTCCCGAAGGAGTTTGTCGTACTTTTTGCCAAGCTCTGTAGATGTCTCCATTGCACTTTTTCTATTTTTGTTGTTCCACTGTTGTAGCAAATTTGTCATGTACTCCAGCAATCGCATTACTGGTAACTCTCTAGCATCCTTGTTTGCTGCATTAATTGACTCTGCAATATTGGAAGTCATTACCATCGACCTTTTCACTTTGGAATATGCCCTAGACCACCTTTCGTATCCAATTTCGAACAAGTAAGGCCGCACTCTCGGATCAATTTTGCACATCTCTGTCATATGGTACTCAAACTTCTCTACCGTGTAAGCTCTAGCCAAAGCAAAGAAGATATCCTTCAATTGTTTGTGATGTTTCTTGAATGTGCGCTTTACATTCTTCCACAAGTGAAACATGCAAATACAATGTGGTACTTCTAGGTACACAACTTTTGTGGCATTGAAGATGCTTTCATTTCTATCTGAAACTATACACATCCCTTCCCTAACTCCAAAAGTACCCTTTATCTGGACAAAGAGCCACTCCCAAGATTTGTTATTCTCTGAATCTACAATTGCATATGCAAGTGGAAGGATTTTTCCTGTTTATACAAAATAGATATTAGGATTCAGATAATTATACAACTATTATACACAGTTATACACAATTATACAATTTTATACCAACTGCAAATTTTATAAAAACAGTAGCTGTGAAATCCTATACACTTTTATACATGAAACTACAACATTATACAAACTGCAGAAACAAGGTAGATGCAGTCAACTCACCAGCTCCATCCTGTGTGCAAGCAGTCAATATGGTACCCTTATATGCTGCTTTAAGGAAACTTCCATCAACAACCATTATCGGTCTGCAATGCTCCCAGCCCTTGATAGATGCATATAGCGAAACATATGCATAAAGAAAGCATCCATCTTCTGATTTGTGCAACTTTGTAACCGTTCCTGGATTTGTTTGCTCTAACATATAAAAATACTTCGGCAACTCCTTATATGAATCACTAGGACTCCCTCTTATCATTGCCATTGCTATCTCTTTAGCTCTCCATGCTTTCATGTAGCTCACCTCAATTCCGTGTTGCTTTTGTATGTCCTCTATTATATCATTTGCGGTGTAAACTTTTTTTGGATTAACATACTTGTCCTTGACTATACTAGGAATTACACCCGAAGTAGCTGGACGTTGTGTTAAGTATCTTTCACCATAGCCCCATGTGTGATTATTATTGTAACTTCTCACTTTGAATATGTTTGCCTTGAAAACGACAGAAGATTTGAAACTCCAAGCACAATTTTCATCCATACACATAAGGTGATACCTAGGATTAAAGACCATTCAACTTCTAAATACACTTGTATACAAAAACATAACTACATATATACTAATTTTAATACCTAGATACAAATATATACTACTTTATACATATTTATACATATATATAACAGAATATACAATTATTTACATACCTTGTTGCGCTTGATCTCTTCACCTTGAATTGGAACCTTTCACGTACAGCCAAGTTCTTCATCACACTGACAACTGTCTCTTTATCCTTATAAACTTGATCTTCCTCAACAAATTCGTTCAATATATCATCTATTATACCCGTGTTTTCACTAAATTTCGTGTTTTCAATAAATTTGATATCAATAATCTCAGTGCTATCAATTGTTGATACATCTCTAGAATCTGAACTTGTACCAACCAAACAGCTGGAACTTGTAGCAACTACACAACTAGAACTTGTAGGAACCAAACGATTTTCATATATCTCTTTCACTGTCACAAACAAAGGATATTCAGTGAAATTCAAGTTTTTCTTCTTTAATTCGATATACACCTTCACACCTGTATCGTTGTAAATCAGGATCGGTGGCAAACCAACATTTGGGAGAAAGTTAATCTCTATTGTGTTTAACTCACTATCGATCCTAATCTGTTCCGAAATAGCTGCAACTAAATTGTTGTAGGTGAATGTTGACTCGATTATTACACAATCGCTGACGAAATTGATAAACTTGTTTTCTTCCCATTCACCACTATGAAGAACGTAAACTGGAAAAATCTCCATCGAACAAAAAATGGAAATCAAAATTGAAGCAAAAACTAAATTTGCGCTGATTTGCAGCAAACAATTTTACTTTCATGTTTGATTTGTTGTTAATTCGAGATGAAGAAGAAATTCTAGGGTTTTTGGAGCTGCATTCATGGAAAGATCTCGTTTTTGAAGTATTTGGGGAAGAAGATTGGAAAGAATCTGAGAAAATGCAGAAAATCCCGTTTTTTACTCCTAAAAAAACGGAATTAACGCTCCTTTTTCAGATATGGGCCTATAATTTTTGGGCTACTCAATTGTAAATTGAAATATGGGCTATAAAGCTGAAAAGGAGGCAGCCCAATTGTTTTAATATGAAATTTTCCCTATTTTAAATAAGATTCTTCATTTAAATTTTGACCAGTCTTAAAATTTTGACTAAATTGCTTTACATATTTAGAGATTACACAAAATACTACAAATTACAATTCTATTATTTAAAATATACAAAAAAAAACAGAAATGTATAGTCAAGGAAACATTATATAGTTATTGGCGGAATTCATATACAGAGCCTCCTATACTTGTTAAGTTTCTATTTAAACATCTCAACTAAGGCTCGATCTATATCATTAGTAAAAAAATATTTATCTATTTATGTATGTGTGTATGTATGTATGTGTGTGTTCTATTCATTTTCAACGCGTGAAATACCTTTAAAATGAAATTATTTTTTTTTAGCTAATACTACTCATGGGGATGCCTCTATGGATATATATTAATAACTAGTCTCTAGGTACGCACTTACGCATGTAGTTTGTATCTTACTGTATCACTAAGTATCAATTTAAAATAATCACATAAATATTATTATGAAAAGTGTTTGCGTCTAAAATAATAATTAAATAAAAAGGTCATAATTAATGAATGTTGATTCCTTTTAAATACAACAACAACAACAAAATACCTAGTAAAATCTCACAAGTAGAGTCTGTGGAGGGTAATGTATATGCAAACCTTACTCCTACCTTGTGAAGGTAAAGTGATTATTTCTGGTAGACCCTCGACTAAAGAAACGCATAATCACTGCAGTTAAGATAAAAAAATACGACAAGAAGAATCCATGTAAAGATAAACAATAATCACAGTCAAAAAAAGGAAACCGAAGAAAAAGCAATATGTGTCAGGAATCTATGCATAGGGCATACAAGAATACACTAGTACTACAGGTATAGAAAAGAAACACAGGTAAGAAAAAGAATTACGTTTGACGTCTTTCTAACCTACTACTATAATCCTCTATCTCCACACCTTCTTATCAAGGATTCTGTCCTTGACTAAGATATGACGTGTCCTACAATACCTCTTCGCCTACCTCTACGTCTTCTTGGCCCTACCATAGCCAACCTATCACACCTCCCCACTAGGGCATCTGTGTATCTCATCTTCACATGCCTAAACTATTATAACTGTGCTTTTCGCATCTTGTCCACCACTGGACCACTCTGACTTTGTCCCAAGTATCTTTATTCTTAATTATATATCTCCTAGTATGCCCACACATCCATCTTAGCATCTCATTTTCGCTACTTTTATTTTTTGAACATGGGGGGTCTTGACTTGCCAACACTTTGTCCCATACAACATAGTCGGTCTAACAACCATTCGGTAAAATTTACGCTTATGTCTCGGTGGCACTTTCTTATCATACAAGATACCGAATGCAAGCCTCTATTTCATTCAAATACGATGGGTGACATCATCGTTAATCTCCCCATTACCTTAGATTATAGACCCAAGATACTTAAAACTTCCTCTCGTCACATCACTGAACTTGCACTTCAAGTATTCTGTCTTAGCCCTGCTCAACATAAAACCTTTAGACCCCAGGGTCTGCCTCCAAACCTCCAACCTAGCGTTAATACCATCTTGCGTCTCGTCAATCAGAACTATGTCGTCAACTTATCTATCACCAAGAAAAATAAGAACAAGTTGAGAGCTGACCCTGGTGCAACTCCATCATGACTGGGAAGTGGCCGGAATCTCCTCCCACTATCCTCACGTGTCTTAGCTCTATCGTACTTATTCTTGAATGCCCTAGTGTATGCGATATGTACACCTCTAGCCTCCAAATATCTGTAAAGAATCTCCGTTGAGACTTTGTCATAAGCTTTTTCTAGGCCGATGAACATCATGTGTACGTTCATCTTCCTCTTTCCCTATATTGTTCCACCAATCTCCGAACAAGGTAGATGGCATTGATATTCCATCGTCCTAGCATGAAACTAAAGTAATTCTCATAAATTGACATACCCCTTCTCACCCTCATCTACACCGCCCTCTCGCAAACTCTCATAGTGTGGCTTAGTAGATTGATACCCCTATAGTTGTTGTAATTTCAAAAATCACTCATGTTCTTGTACAATGGAATTATTGTACTCCACCTTCATTCCTCGGGTATCTTCGTCATCCTAATAATAATATTAAATAACACAGAGAGTCACTCCGTACCTACCCTTCCTGCGCTCTTTCAAAATTCTACAAGAATCTCGTTTGGCATGGGCGCGCTACCCCTACTCATCTTATGCATCGCCCCTTAAACCTCTGCAACCTTTACCTGCCTACAATACTCACAATATCGATGACTTTTGAAGTGCTCCAAATAGCCTAGCACAATGTCCATGTCCCTTTCCTCATTCAAGTGTCTATGGAAGTATGTCTGCTATCTACTTCTATTATGTGCCTCTTCCATCAATACTTTGCCATCTTCATCTTTGATGCACTTCACTTGATCCAGATCTCTGACATTCCTCTCCCTTGCCTTGTCTAGCATGTATAGCTTCTTATCCCCGCATTTTTCCCTAAGTTCATCATATAAGCGTTCAAACAATGTCATTTTTGCCACAATAACCACTAACTTCGCCTTCTTCTTTTTCGACTTATACCTTTGCCTATGTGTCCACTTATTCACCTCGTCTTTTCTCTCCATCGACTTTGTTTAAGAGAGATTCTCGACTTCCACTTTCCCTTGGATCTTTGCGTTCCACCTTGGTGATCACCTACGTTACCCCTCGAGACCCCCAGCATTTCTCTAGCTGCTTCTCTAATGCAAGTAGCCGTCATATCCTACATACTATTTGCATTCCCACTACTACTCCAAGCCCCTATCGCCATAAACGTCTCCCTCAAATCTTGATCTCTGGCAGTGGTTAATCCACCCCATTTAATCTTTGGCCTGTTGCAGAAAGCCCTCTTATGTCTCTTCCTCTTAATATCCAAATCCATCACCAAGAGCTTATGTTGGGTAGTTAGATTCTTACTTGGAATAACCTTACAATCATTACAAAGAAATATATCATCCTTCCTAAGGAGTAAGAGTCTATCTGAGTCCTAGCCACCGAACTACGGAAGGTTACCAGGTGCTCCCCCTTCTTCGAAAAACTCAAATTAGCTATCACTAAGTCAAAGGTTTCGTAAAATCCAAAAGCGAGACTCCTCCTTCATTTCTATCCCCAAACCAAAACCTCTATGCAAAAGTCATAACTCCCTGAAGTTGTCCCTATGTGGCCATTAAAATCTCCTCCTATGAATAGCTTCTTATCAGGCAGTATACCTCTCACAACCTCGTCAAAATACTCCCAAAATGCTTCTTGACCTCCTCTCCCAAGCCCGCTTGAGGTGTCTAAGAACTAATTATGTTCAAAGTAAGCCCTCCCACGACTAGCTTAATCACCATCATCCTGTCATTCACTCCTCCTAACCTCTACCACCTGCTCCTAAGTTCTCTATTAACTAGAATCCCTACTATACTTTTATTCCTCGAGCCTCCCAAGTACCACAACCTGAACCCATCCACATCTTGTGCCTTAATCCTTATCATTTGGTTTCATGGACACAAGTTATATTGATCCTACTTTTCTTAAGTATCTTTACCAACTCTATTGACTTCCCTGTCAATGTCCCTATGTTTCAAGACCTAACTTTCAACCTAGTGGCTCCCTTAATCCACTTTCCATTCCTAACCGTCTCCCCTAGCCCCAACCGAGACATGACCTTAATATACAATCACCCACCAGAGCCACTACCACGAGTGTAAACTAATTAAGGGCTTATTGA